AGGTTTTCAAAAACGGAGAGAAGAGAAAAGAAATTAAAACTTTCCGCAATACTAAACTTTCCACACTTTTACTTCATTCGATTATGATTCGATGTGAAAGGTACTCATCACTGGTTTTGGTTTTGGGGAGACACAAATGGGTGTTTACAGAAGCCCCCACTTTGACTAAGTTTGGAGAAACGCGAGTTTAGAAAACAAAAGTCAAAGTATCGATAGGGACGGAGAATGATTCAAAACGTTCTGCGATCCTAAATCACTCTTGTAACGCCGATACATGCAAACTAGCGTTAGTTTAACAGATAAGAGAGTTAAGAAACGCGTATCTTGCACCGTCGAGCACACGTCTCTGAAGAGTAACCGATTTGCTGCTGCTTTACTGTTTTGATGACCTCCTGCCAAGAGAATGTCATCCTACTTGAAAACCGCTACGCTTGTAACTGCTTCCAATAATGAAGATTTCTTCTCGTGAAACGACCTTCTTCCGCTTTGTGACCATCTTCCACGTCTAAGGGAACATGATCGAAGACAACTTTGCTTGAAATCACCTTCAGCTGTTTGTGACAACTCTCCATAATCTAGGGAACGCCATCTTGCTGTTTCGATGTTCATTCGTCTCTGAACAAAGAGCTTCTTCTTTTGGATATGTTCACGCGTATCTGAACAAAGAGCTTCTTTTTTTAATATGTCCACGAGTCTCTGAACAATAGAGCTTGAAAGGATTGTCCACGCGTCTCTGAACAAAAGAGCTTGAAAGGATTGTCCACGCGTCTCTGAACAAAAGAGCTTGAAAGGATTGTCCACACGTCTCTGAACAAAAGAGCTTGAATGTTTATTGCGATAATATTCCGAAGAAAAATTTCCAAAGACCAACGCTTGTCGATCTCTAAAGCTCGCTTGAACTTTGCTTCCGCTATGCCAGTACGTCGGCAGTTTACTGCTTGTGAACCATTATGTTGGTTCCTCTGCTGTTTATGAACTAGTATGTCGGTGTCTCTGCGATGAGCCAATCTTTCGTCAGGTCGATCACTTATTGCGATTATAATCAAGCCGACTACTTAATCATGCCAACTTGCTTATAGGGGCTAACTAGCGTACCAAGGAACCCAAAATTTTCTGAAAGAGGTTGAAATAACTGCTCTGACTGGTTGAGCGTTCTGTCACTGCTGAAATTGCTTCTGGCGCTGCGATTTGGCTCTGTTGCCAGATGCTGGAATCTAGCGCCAGGCGCTAAAAACTGTTGCTAGACGCTAGATGTTTTCATTTGGCGCTGGAGTAGGGTCTTCCCTATTCTGCTGCACCTGTATTCATTTTTTACTATAGGACTTTGCTAATTTCTGTAATTATTTTAGGGTTGACCTAAGGTTTAGCATTACTTGACTCATTGACTTTACACGGCTCAAGGTATAAACTTGACTCGCTGTGATTGACTCGACTCAAAGTGTTTGACACATGTGTTAGACTCATGACCCGTGTGTGCATTGTATTATGATCGTGCGACTCGAAAATGCAAAAAAGCAAAAATTTTCGTCATTTTTGTGGAGGGTACCGACTTTCTCCCTCCACCTGCTTAAGTAAGTGGTGAAGCCTTCATTCTCTTTCTGTTTGATAATGGAGAGTTCACGTTCAAAAGTCTTGGCCTGAATGTTACACTTGTAACGATTCATGAAACTTTCAGCAACATCCTCCTAGGTCGCAACATGTTTGGATTCCAAAGAGTAGAACCGTTGTTGACAGGCGTGCTCTAAGGAAAGAGGGAACACCGTAGGGAAGAGTGTCACATCTACTCCCTTAAGAGCCATGATTGTAGAAAAAGCCTTCAAATGGAAAAGCGGATTATCAGTAGGCTTGAACTTGGGAATGTTAGCAGTGGAAAACTTCTCAGGAAGCTTGTCCCTTATGGACGAAGAGGCGACAGGTTGCTCCAGATAAGTGAATTCTTCAGAAATCTTACTCATCTGTTCCTTAATCTTGTCCATTGCAGCGGCAACGACATTGTTCTGATTTTCTCGCTCTATCGTGTTGACTCTAGTGGTGAGTGTTTGCATCATGTTAGACAACATTTCAATTGTCCTGTTGATGTTCTCGATATCTTCCTTAGTAGTTATTGGTTGAAAGTAGACTGGAAATGGATCTTGTGGAGATGATTGTGGTGGTTTCCTTGTACGCCTCTTTGGTATAAGAGGTTGTTGAGGTATTGACTCGAACCGTAACAATCTACCCCTGCTTCTTGACCAAGTGCTGTGACACCGAAACAAACACACCTTTAATGACCAAACTTAACCTTAACCCATCCGGAAAAAATAAAAAAATAAAAAAATAAAAAATTTGAATTTTGAAATTCTATTTATTTTTTGTTTAAAAAAATAAAATATATGGGAGGATACCATCCGACTTATCCGATAAAAAAGACACAAAAAAAAGACTACCCTAAAATACGGACATGAAATGGTGCACGACTAACGAAAAAAGTTTGTGAACACGACATGTGAGTGATTAAGTGAGGTTATGGACGCGTGTTATGACCGTATAACTAGACATGACACCAAACTCGACACATAAACCACATACGTACGCACAAAAACCAAAAAAAAGACTGATGGGCCACTTTTCATGGGAACCGTGTCACGGTGCTGACTGTCGTGACACGGTGCAGTCTACCGTCAGACGGTAGAAAGAGACGTGTCACGGCACTATTCACCGTGGCGCGGCGGGACTTGCCGTGACACGGTGCTCAGTTCCAGGTCTTTTTTGTGAGTTTTTCCAGATTTTAGTTGATTTTAAGTCCGTACTAATTACTTTGTGGAATTAAAAACCTTCGGTCATGGGTTAAACAAAAAGAGTAAACACATGAGGGTTAGTACCAAACAAACCATGTAGCATTTAGTCACTATGATGTAAAAAAAGTTCGCAACCTAGGGTCAAGATCTATGTTCAACTATTGGTCAAGCTTTGGGTGTCAAAAGGGTACCATGGTTAAGAGTTTGGATGCGTTAGCAAGGCAGCCTCCCTTGAGGGTGTATTCCAACGGGCGGCTCCGCGAGTTCGTGATGAAATCAAACTCGACTCCATGGTTTGGGTGGATTTAATAACTCGAATGAACCCTTATTGCCATGAGCGTTTTTGGGTTGATAGAGCTTAAATCCCCTGGGGCTAAGACGCATGTAGAACACACACGTGTTTTCAGAAAAATCGAAGGAAGTTGACTGTGAGAAGATAAAAAAACCGCCGGACTGATTTTAGGACTGCCGTGAAACGGCAGAGATTCTCGTACCTCGGTACTGCACACCGTCAAACGGTGTACTGCACCGTGACACGGCAGATTTTGCCGTGGCACGGTAGTCAGAAAATCTTACTGGTGCCCTACTTTCCTTCGTACGCAATCAAATTATTCAATTTTTCCTACGGGACAGACCTAAATGCGACGTTAAAACGTCTATGCTTATGCAAAAATGCAAAATTAATCACAGGAATATTTTTCAAGAATCTTTCAAGTCTCATCCACTCATCTTAATTAAATACTGATCACTCAAATCGATAAATAACCAAGAATCCTCCCCAGTGGAGTCGCCAAATTGTAGGCGTCGTTTGAAGTGCGCTTACGTTAAAGCATGTGTGAATATGCTTGACACTCATAGGAAGTGGGAATTGACACAATATGATTAGGGACAAGAAAAGTAGGGAGCCGCCAACAAGTTTTAAAGGAACTTGTAAACCGTTCATGGATCATAAAAGGCAACCATGATAAAGGGACAACGAAGGCAACAACGATTGACCCGTGAAGGTTACACTCCATTCATAATCCATGAGATTACTAACTTTATATGGTTCGGAACCACGAAAGGAGGATCGGGGATGATGGTACGAAGTGAGTCATGGAGTCACATTCGCCCGTATTGGCCTCTACTCGATTCTTATAGTGAAAAGTGAATCCTGCAATCTCAAAGGCATACAAACAAAATATTCAATTTGCTCCTAACTATTATTATGCTAAATTGGTTGAATAGTAATGCAACATATTATTCTAAAATATTGTGATCACTTGATTAACACAACAAAATTAAAAAGGAACCTAAACCGGTTGTCCAAATTATCTTATTAAGCGTGATTTTCAATTACATATTCCCTTTAAACATGCAATATGGTGATCAATAAATAATAATAGAATTACCATTAATATTGGAAGCAATTCAACAATAATTCCAACAATATAAAATCGTTAGAAAAATAAAAGAAATAAAAGGAACATAATTCTTCATTTGATTCTGTTTGCTTGCAACTACAAAATAATAAACGAGTTAGTAACTTCAAGGAAACAATAATTAAATTAAATTAAGTAGAGTTGATTTGGGGCCAAACCCTCAAACAGTTCTACCATTCACGCCTTGGCTTAAGGACAGAACCACGAGTAAAGTATGGACACATTACTACAAAAAAGTCTTAGAGGTGTAAGGCGTTCTTCTGCTAAGCGATCTATAAAGTATAGCGAACGGGTCTTTAAGGCGTTTTATATACTAACAAATAGAGAACAGTTGTTAGTCACAACCGTTCTCTTTTCCCTTCTTTAAAATGTGAACTAAGGAAGGAAAAAAGAACGGTTTAGGCTACCTAATCGTTCTATATTGCATTACAATAGAGAACTGTCAAGTAAGATAACAGTTCTCTAATGTATTTTTAATAATAAAAAAAAAAAATTCAGCCATATATTATATTTTCTTGCTACAGTATTATTCCCGTATTTTCTTGTATACCTGTATTATTTATTGTATTCCTGTATTATTTTTTGACAAAAATTTCCTATATCTTCTACATATATATCCCATAAGAAAATTTTTACAGTTCTTGTATAAAATAAACTCATGATCCTTTATAATATAAATTTAAAAATAACAAAATTAACCAAAATCATAATATTTAATTTTGCCCGAATTTCAGTGGTTGAATATCTACTAATCTACATCATCAATGCCTTAAAAAAAAATTCTACCATCAATCAATAAATATTGAAATTGTCAAAGTAAAATACGGAATACCAAATCAAAACAAACTTTAAAATCCACTTTGTATTTAATTAGTTACATCTTAAGTACTTTTGATATAATTCAAATGCAAAAACGAAGAACATGATATACTTGAAAATGAATCCATGATCTTTAAGAATTTGTTCTCCTTTATATCCGATTAATCTGTTGAAAAAAACAAAAAATAAAAAAAAATTATAAAACACAAAATAAAGTTAAAAGTAGATATTTATACAATAGACATTGACAGTAAAAATAAAACATGCTTAACAATAATGTATTGAATAATACGTTTGCCGGCAATAAAACAAAACAACTAAACACAAAACTGTAGATCTTCACCATCATTTCAAAACTAATCATCACAAACACAAAAAATCATAAATTTAATTAATAAAATCTCACATTAATCATCGATCGGATGAACTGTCAACAAAATGAAAACCAAAAAATAAAAACAGATCTAATTACAAAGAAATCAATGCTCATATGAAATTAAAGAGAGGAGAAAGAAGTTTACTTGCTTGACGAAAATTAGGAGCCATAGTTGTCAGGGGAGAGAGAATTCGATGAGTTGTCTTAGTTGCTTGTTGTCTTGCCATTGTTGAAGCTCCAAATTAAGGTTGTTTTGACTGAGAACGAGATGGATGATTTGCAAGTAGAGAAGGTGATGGAGAGGAGGTAGTGTTTATTGGAGTTAGGGTTAGAGCAATGGAGAAGCTTTAAACCAAATCTGAGTAGGAGAGAGGGAGAGAGAAAGAGAAAGAGGAAATTTTTGAAGAGAAAGAAGAAGCCATAAACGGCTATTGGGAGTTAAGAGCATGAATATTGGAGAGGATATCTATCCTCTTGAAGGTGGTTTTTGCTTAGGTGGACATATCCTCTTTGATGCTGGGAATTATTGAGGATCCTTGAGGGGAGGAGGATGCTCATGAATCCTCTTCTGTTGAAGGAAAGTGAACCTCGTCTACCGTTCCAAGAGGATGACTAAAAACAGCGTTTCAAGCAAAAATACAATGCAAACGGTGACGTTTTGTTAAATTAAAAAAAAGGAAAAAAATTAATCTTCTGACATAACAACAAAGTGGCGAAGACAAGCAACGACAATATATTTTAACCAACCTTCCATTGCTTGACAAGTGGCAGCCACTGATTTGTTATATTTGTTACATGATTTTACTAGCACAAAAATCTTATAACGTTTTGTTATGGCGTGTATTATCATGCACAATATGATCGTGGAAGATGAGCGCGAAAGTTATCTTAATTATTGGGATCCTAATGAGTTTGCTACTGAACAACCCGAGTATTTAGCAGGAACTTCAAATCGAAGAGGAACGACTTTCACCGTAGCCCCGCGCTACCAAAATCCTAATCTAACCACATTAATGGCTACACCAGAAAATCTCCACGATAAACAAACTCATATGTCACATAAACAAGATTTGGTAGAACATTTGTGGGCAAGATTTGGGCATACTAGTAATCGGTAAGGAAAAATGAGGATATTTAGTTATTTGTCTTTAATTTCTTGTATTTGTTGTACTTTAGTGTATCAATTAGTGTTTTTATTCCTAACTCCAAGTGTTATTGTATCAAAATGTTGGTAAAGTATGGTAATTTTTATTATGTATGCTAATTATGGAATACTAATTATTATTATTATTATTATTATTATTATTATTATTATTATTATTAATGTTATTATTATTATTATTAGATTTTATCATTAATGAAATCAATAACAAATAATCAATAATAATAAGGTGGGGCCATATTTATATATAAAATATATTGAGAGGATACCCTTTGATGTGGGAAAAATAAATGGAAGAGGATGGAAGAGAGGAAAGAGATAGTGGAAAATGAGGTGGATGAAAGAGAGTATGAGGTGTCAAAATAGGGTAAGGAGAGAGAATGAAAGAGAGAATAAAACCATCCTCTCCAATATTCATGCTCTAAGAGGAAATATGATGGGCATTCAAACCGGCCCACAGAGAATAGGGTTTTACTTTTTATTTTTTTTTAAATATATGTTAAAATCAAATAGAACGGTTAATTAGAAAAGACGTTCTATATAGTAAAGTCACAAATTAAAATAATAAAAAAAATCAAATAGAATGGTTAACTTAGATAGGCGTTGTATAAAATCCTAGAGATCGCCTATTTAAATTAATTGTTCTCTATCTTGCGTTTCTTATTCTAGTTTTTGGTGTAGTGAACCCTAAAATGATAAAAACCCTAAAAAAGTATACCGCGACATGACAAAGTGTACCGTGACACGAGAAATCCCACCGTCAGACGGGAAACATTCCCGTATCACGGTGCACTTTTGTGTGACGCGGGAAATATTTAGTGAACGGGGGGAGAAAATGCGTTAAGGGTTTACGCGGAAAGGACACGGAAACCCCCGTGTCACAGCACGTGTCCCATGTCACAGGGAACCCCACCGTCAGGCGGGAAAATTTCCGTTACACGGTGGACTGCTGTCGTGACATGGGAGTTTTCAGTCCGCTTTTCCGTCTAAATTCATTTTTAACCCTAATTTCGTTCAGCATTTTAAGTGCCGATGGATAATTTCGGGCCATTTTCTGATTTTATTATTATTTGGGCTAAAATAAATTACAAGTTTAGGCCAAAAATAAATAATAAAACATTAAAATAAAAAAAGGTTACTCTAGAGACGTGTGCTCGACGGTTGTCACAACGGCAAATGCAAGATACGCGTTTCTTAACTCTTTTATCTGTTTTAACTAACGTTAGTTTTCACGTATCGGCGTTACAAGAATGATTTAGGATCGCATAACGTTCTAAATCATTCTCCGTCCCTATCGATACTTTGACTTTTGTTTTCGAAACTTGCGTTTTTCCAAACTTAGTTAAAGTGGGGGCTTCTGTAGACACCCAAATGTGTCTCCCCAAAAACAAACCCATTGATGAATACCTTTCATGTCATTTGATTATCGAATGAAGCAAGTGTGAAAAGTCTGGTGATGAGGATGTTTTTATTAAAATATCTTTTCTTTCTATTTTTGAAAATATTTATTTTCTAACCCTATTTATGAAAAAACGTGAATTCTAGTTTAGTATGATCCATTATATGGGTCCAATAATATTATAGTTGGATGGGGTTTGAAAAGACCTTTCTAACGATATATTATAAGCCCAATTCCGATGAATAATGAGGAAGTTATGGCCAAAATATTAAACTGGGCCCGGTTTGGTTCTTACATACGGCCCAATAATCTAGAAGAGGGCCTATTATTAATTATCATTCCTAATGATATTAGGATTGATTATAGTCTTCTAAAATACTCTAGAAGGTTCTCTTAAATCCTAAAGGTGTTAGGATTGATCATTATGTTTCAAAGAGTTTAAAATTGAATAAAACTACTACTTTTGAGAATCCTTGTTTTGTACGAAGTGGAATATGTTCAGATTTTATTTTCTTGCCTCATAATATTTATCAAAATTTTATATGGTTGGATAGATCTTGAAATTACCTTTCCAATGATATATTATAATATTAAATCCGTGTTATAACGAAAAAATATGAATGAGATATGAAACTCTATCCAAAACTGACACCCTTCCACTATTTAGGCCATATCTTTTTATCTACAAAAGATTTTAATCCGATTCTAATTGGATTGGAAAGTATAACTCAAGAGATTTCTAACTACATATTATATGACTTATTTGGACTTTTTTATCAAAAGATATGATAAAAACAAAATCCACAAAAACTGATGTCAATCGAGTTTTTTTTTCGATTCAAATTTGGATTCTTTTCTTATTCTTCGACCCTCTTTTTTCTCTATAAATACAGGTCATATCTCCCCTTTTTCAATCATCAACTCTCATCAAGAATTTATTGATTCTTTCTCTCTCTCTTTCTAAACCAACCCTTTTACAATTCCTCATACATTAGCACTATACACACCTAGCCAAGTTCGAAGTTGCCTTCGCCCTAGACGTGAAAGGTTTGATATTTCTGAGGGTTTGGCCCCAATTCTCTATTTAAATTATTTAATATAATTGTTTTATTATTTTCCTTAAAGTTACTAACGCGTGTATTTTGTTATTAGAAAGAGATATGAGACATCCAAGTAAGTGCTTTAATTGTTTTAATTGATATTATGATATAGAAATCATGTCTAGGTTGTTATTTTGATTCCTAGTATCATGTTAGGATGCTTTTCTTAGTATGATGTTTAGCGTGACAATAATAAGTTCCTAGTATCATGTTTATTGTAAAGAATATAATGTCAATTATGATTTCTATGATGCCTTTTATTGTCTTTCCTAATAGCATGTTAGTATCATGTTAAGGATAAAGCTTTGATTTTTATTGCTTAGTGACATGATAGGGTTTGTTATTAATCTTGTTAGTATCATGTCTAGGATCTTGCTATTATTATGCTTTAACATGATTATTTTAATTATGAATATTATTGTTATTATGATGATTATGATTGTTATTATGATTATTATTTTTATAATTGTTATGATGATTATTATGTTGCTTGATATATTATTTATATTGCTTGATCACGCCTTTCACTATTATGATTGTTATTATGATTGTTTTTATGCTTGTTTAAAGGGAATTGGTACTTGTAATCACGCTTAATAAGATAATTAATAATCTTATTTAGGGTTAATTTGATTATAATTCAAGTGATCGCCAATAATAGTCTTTTTTGTGCATTAATATTTAACCAACATAGATTAAACAGGTTTAGGGTTAACCTAATAATTGCATGTTAGTCAAAAAGCGCACAGAATACGAGAAGAATAAAGTAGAGGCCTATTATTAGTGCAGGTTCTTTCTCTTTTAGATTGGATTTGTACCTTCTTCCCCGAACTTCCAGTCTTGGTTCCAGACCTATTGGAGTTAACGATCTCTTAGATCGTTAAGGGGCGTAACCTTCACCCTGTGAACGGTTTACAATTTCCTAAAACTTGTTGGCGACTCTTGTGCTGTATCTTCTTTCCTTTGGACGCCACCATGCTTAAGTGTGTGAACACAGTGGGGATCACATTTGGGGTAATGCTTGAAATATTCCCTCCAATTTGCATATGTGGTCCCAATTAGAGTATAGGATTTATTGCTCCTTTTGGGTGTTTCAACTACTTAAGAGAAAATGGCTTCTTCTTCGTAGTCTCTGTAGGTGTCACCTCTTTATTGACATGCTTAATTTGTTCTAACTTTGTGTGTTCAAGAACTTTTCTACACATGTCTATTGTTTTCCCCATTATATCTATGAAGATCAAAACGTCTTCTCTAGTGGGAGGTTGTTGATTTGGGGCCCAATCACTCATGGCATTGAAAAAGATTCCTCTTCTTCTTCAATGGCATGAATTTCTTCGACTATTTGATTAGAGATGAGGGGTCAAAATAATTTTCCTTATCATAGCCAAGGATTCAGAAAGTGGTGCACTGTTGATACTTGGCTTCTTGCTTGCACGAGGCATTAGGAGTTCTTCCTTTAGCTTCTAGCAATTCTCACTAAGATGGCCCTTACCTTGATGGTATTTGCAGTGTGTATTGGGACTCCAATTAGCTATTTTCCTTTCGACTGGTGGATCCCCAAATGGTCCAATAGGAGCTATAAGACCTTTAGCATGAAGACGGTCATATGCAGTGTCATAACTTATACCAATAGGAGTAAAGTTTCTCCTAAATAGTTTCTTTTGTCCTTGATTATTCATGGCGAGGACTTCATTCAGATTAAAGGTGCTAACAATATTCAAGTGGGTGGTTTTAGAAGAAGAAGGATTGTTGCTCTTCTTTCCATTCCAGCCAGTATTGGAGTTATTGTTAATAGCTTTTTGCTTTGCAAGGTCGTCTTCAATATTAATTCCAATTTCATAGACGACCTTGAAAGTATTCAAGTTGCTTTGGTACTTTAGATGATTGGAATACTTTTCCTGGAGATTCTTGAAAGTATTCAAGTTGCTCTTCTTTCCTCATAGACTCTTTTTCAGTAGGTACCATAATCATCTTAGCGGAAGTTTCCCTCCACTTATTAAAGAAAGATTTAAAACCTTCATTCTCTTTTTGTTAAATTATCTCAAGCTCCCTATGATTAGTTTCAACTTGAACATTACAGTTGTATCTATCAATGAAAGCGTTTATAATAGAATCCCAAGTA